GCAAGACAATATTGACATATATCTGTTACAAATCAAAGAAAAGATAGTACTGCTGACTAAACCTGGCGGATGCAAAGGGACCTGTTGCATCTTGCTTGACATTTGTGAGGCTGGATAAAGGTGCCTGTACATTGTGGGTCCCCTTTACAGGTCCACACTGCCAAGTCTGGATGCAAAAGATGCAAAGGAATGAAGGGATGCCATATATTTTCACATGCTGACCACACACTTGCAATCAGTTACTTCTTAATAGCGTTGCACATCTGTTCCTTTCGTCATTATGCTTTGCCGTGTGTGCTGCTGTATTAATTTTATGACTACTTTGTACCTTCCATGTTTTAAAACGAGTTATATTTCCCTCTGGGAAGCCAGCTCTAGATGTTGTACCCAAAAATCAGCAGTTTTATGGCCTGTACTGGTCAGCTTCTTTTTTTCTTGATTTCTGTGTGTAGGCTGCCTGTTATCAGTGTAAGCGATAACACTTTGATTGTCCCTGCACGGCAGGTAGTCAGGCATAATAGAAACAGATCTGTACAAGAAAACAGCAGAGGCTCCTGTGTACACGACATATACATTTTGGAATTTCTTTACATAGACTAACATTAATCTGGTCCTGAGAACTGAGTGCCTATTATCCTTTGCAGGTATGCTCTTGGCATGTATTTTCTTATCCCTGAGGCAGTAAGTGGGAATGACTGGAAACTCGCTCCAAAATGCAATCCTGATGCAAACTAAAGCGGTAATGTAGATGCACCATGTGTGAGTTGGTTTTTTGTGGAGTACCATGTGCTTTAATTTCCAAACTGACTTGTGAGCCTGACATTTCACTAAAGCCTTTTTGCGTCAATGCTATTATTTGTTTCCTTGCATTTATGTGGTAACAGATAGCAGTATCATAAAAACAATAATACTGGCATAACCATTCATTGAACTAACAAGTGCTCAAAAGATCAATACAATTAGAAGGAGCTGTCTATTAACAGCTATTGAAGTTTCTGTGGATCAAGCCCAGGCCAGTCAGTGGAGTCTGAGGGCTCAGAGTTTGAGGCTGGGCACCGAGCTGGGTGTGCCAGACCCAATGCTGTATGTTTGCCACCCCTTGTGCTTCTGCTGCATGAGCCGCTCAGTCCATCCTGGGTCCCAGGACTTTGTCTGTACCCATTTTCAGTAGAGCAAGTCCCCTGGAAACAGTACCACATGGGTGTATCTTCTGGGAACTCTAATAATTGAATGAAGCCCTGAGAATATTTCCCTGCCTCTTCCCTTCATCATGCTCTCCCCCAAAATTCTCCCCAAATCCACAAAAAGTTGTCTTACCTAGCCAGCTGCTCCTCAGGAATTTGGTCTCTGTAGGATAAGGCAGAGATTTGCTGTACGCAGGAAGGATGTGATGGTGTTAAATTGTAGCTGATTAAACGTGATCTGAACAGGACCATAACTCCCTGTTCTAGAAAACCGATAGAAAGGTTTACAGAGGAGCAAATTCGCTGAGATATACTTTATATTCGCTGAGATATACTGGGATACTGTTGTTTCCCAGATAAAAAAGGCCTGCAATGGAAGAAATATGTAATTGCCTGTTTTAATGCTGAAGTTCTGCACAATCAGAGCGGGCCTTACTTTCCACTCAGCTACGTTCCCAGGCTGTCCAGTCTCAACTTTCTCCCATGAATAGACGTCAATCTACGATGCCTGCAAGAGGTGAAGGACAGGTCTCCAGTCCCACTTCACAGAAAAGTCATAGGCACTGAGAAGAGCACAGCCTGCAAGTGGGAGTCCTGCCAGATGCGCAGATTTGAGTCTGAGTAGCCACATCAGACTTGGACTGTTCCTCCAGTCTCCGTCTATTGTGTGACTAGCAACCATGGGAAAACTGCAGGTGTTTTGAGAAACGCTTGAGTTCCTCTCAGATATCCTTCCTACTGTGAAAAAAGGTAAGATGTGACTTTAGAAGGACAAAGAATTTATGGATAGATTGTTCACCTCAAGTGAGGTTACTTTTGCATGTTTGTTTGTGATGCAAAAAGATAAGCAGCATAAAAAACTGTGAACTATGTGAAATTTGGTAATGGACGGTACTTTCTATTTTTTCCCCTGTGGGTAACAGGAATTGAGTATGGGGAGGGCAAAGGGATAAGATGCTGAATCTGAACAGAGGAATACTTTAAAAATGCTTTCCTATTTCCTACCTAAGAGAATTCTTCTAAAAATAATGTAGTTTCAAAAGTTTTTTTTCTTGAAGTAGATTGTATGGTTTAAGAACACTTAAAATTTTAGTATTCAAAATTAGTTAAAATTGAAATAGAAATTAGACTGTCCTTATAACCTTCTGTTAATATCAGCTGAGTATCTTGGAGAGGCATTTGATATATAGGTACAGGCTAGGCTTCACACAAGCACAGTACAACTACTTAAGTATCAATCACTTTTCTGGGGTAAATAGAAGTCCTAACAGGGGATGAAACAAATATGATTGCAGAGCAATTTTCAGGTGGTTGGTATCAGGAGCAATGGTCAAATCTGTGCCACTTTAAGGTGATTGTGTTTACAGAAATTCACATTCCACATGCATTCCTCAAGCTTCAGGGAAGGATCAGCAACCACTGACAGAAAAGTTATCTTGAAAATGTCCTTGCTGTGAGTTATGCTATTTACTTTTAAAATAGTCTCCTGCCTTCATACAAGTAATGTTGTGGACACAACAGTGGTCTAGGGATACAAGAGAAAGGCAATGCATATATAAACCAGTAGCCTAAAAGAAGACAGTCATTGCTGCTCTTTTTCTTGTTAGTCCCTTGCACATACATAGCAACATGGTAGAAATTGCATCTGACAGGAGCATGCCGAGACACACAGATCTTTCTGCATAGCAAGCGTTTGAGCAATGAGAAGCAGCGTTACCGTTTACAAGCTTAGCTGAAACCACAGGCAGCTGGTCGGAAGAATTAATTCCTTTCGGTTTCGGGCAGAAAGAGGAAGCGAGAGTCTCCAGTTCCTGCAGCACGCTTTTGTACATGTTGTAGAAATGGGTACACGACACCTTCTGGACTTACTTTTTCAAAGGCCAGCTTCTCTGCCTAATGGAAGTCAATCGCATACCCCCACCGACTTTAATGAAGCAGAATTAGGCTCTTAAAAATGTCATTGTCCCCCAAAGGAATCCTTCCATTTCCTTTACAGCTAGAACGGCTGTCGAAATTAGCACTGACTCTCTCAGAACATTAGTGGCTCATAAGGAGAAATGATTTAACCATCAGCCCAGTTATATGGAATTATAACGCACTGTGGTATGTATAATCGCTGGAATCTGCATGCAAATTTTTATCTGGGCTTCCTTTGGCAGCAGCTGGTAAAAGACTTTCCACAGGTCTAGGCAGAAATTCAGATTGCAGCAGTGGGAAGAGACCGGGTGCAGAGACTCTCAGGGGGCATCTGCAAACCTGAGCATGTGCCACATGAAACCTTATATGCCTCCTTAAACCCATCTTCCCTTCCTGTGTGAGTTAAAATGCTACTGTTTTACTGTCTCTCCCTACCTCGGGGCACTCAGTGGAAGCAGAAGTACGTATCAAAAATAGGTGTTACAGCAACTTAGTGTCTGCCAATACCACATGCCTTGCTGCATTTCAGAGGTTTAGGTTTAGATGCAGCATACAAAAACAATGCACACCACACCCCCAAATACTAGTGTCACAGCTTTCAATTTAACTGAATTAGTGCTATTATACTTTCCAAGAATACATACCTTTACAGAAATTCTCCCTTCTTTCTTCAACTTACCTTGCTCATAAGAAAGGTGAGAATACGATGTATATACAAACAGGCCTGCATATTCCAGTTTCAGAGAATCTGGCTCAGTGTGTTTTCACAAACATCTGCTTGGAGGACTAGCTATTCTTTCTTTGTAAGAGCAAAAAGAGTTTGTGTCATTAATCACAAAAAAATAAAAGACCATGTAAGTGTAACCTTCACTCATAAGCAGGTTCTATGGATATCTAAATCTTTCCAGTTTCAGGCAAGATGATCAGCTGGGTACTTAAACTGAAAGTAAAAAAATCTCATAATTCATGGATGAAACAACTTGAATAGATCCCAGCACAGTCTTAATGGCACATGACTGCAGCTGCTGAAGTGCCAGTTAGCTAAACCAAGGAAGATCGCCAAGATTAGAAACGCTAAGTGACTGCATGCATTTTCAGAGTCTTACTTTTTTTTCAGTTTTCCACTGAGAGCTAAAAGAGGGGAGAACAGCAAAAGGCTTCCTCTCACATTGTTTGGACACGTGAATTCCAGTGAAATTTTCAATCCTCTTCCCCCTCCCCTTGCCCAATACAAATTAAGCTCCCCCTCTTTTATCATTTCCTTTGTCCTTCTTAAGAGAAAGATTAATAAAACTCACCAGCAAGCAGAGCAGAAATGTGTGAGAGACTGTTAAAAGTAAGCTAACAGCTGCATATGGTTTTTATGACTTGTAGGGAAGAACTCAGAATCTTCCCCCTGTGTTTTAACAGGTCCTTTCCGAACTCTCAGAAGTTAACTTGTATCAGAAATGTCTTCTGATCCCATTTTCTAGGATCAAAAAGAAACTTGTGTGCAGGAAGAAGATTTTTCGTAAATGTATGATGAAAAAAAAAAGTAAACATCATTTCTGGTGCAACCACACCTGATAATTTTATGCTACAGAGCACAACTACTGTGCTACTTTCCACTTACGCGTACTTGCACCCACTTTTATTTATTCTATTCACTAGAGAGAGCTTATTCTTTCTTCCACAAAGCCAGAGTGAGGTCTCTCTTGCCTCCTAAGGAATTTTGGTTATCTTAGGTCGGTCCCTTGTGAAAGGAAACGAGCTCAAAGCTTTGATTTATTCCTAATCCCTTGAAGCTGTGCCTTTTTCAATATTGCTGGGTTTACAAGAGCCGTGGTAAGCAGGTCCTGTGGATACAGAGTGGGTAGACTGAGGCAAGACACACAGTAACATATCTTTATTTGGGTTTTCAAATCTCCAGTAACATAGATAGTCAGAGGGCTTGAGTTCCATAAATGGTACCTTTTAAAATTTGGAAGGGACCTGCTGCAGCTCTGCAAGCTACAATCCTAAGACAGAAAGCACATCAGAGTGAAGGAAGGAAAAAAAAAATCAGGGAAAGGGATGGAGAGGATTGCTGAGGAAATGGGCGCAGGAAAATTGAGAAGGCCCCATCTGTTCCCAGTTTGTGTCTGCGGTGGTACAACAGTTCTGTGGCTGCCACAAGGAGACTAGAGTAAAAGCACTCCCAGGGCTGCGGTCACCCGGGAAGAGATGACAGTGAGAGCAGTCACACAGGAGGGGATGAAGGATGGGTTCTACGAGGTGGTTCTGCAATCCATCAGTTTGCAAAAGCTCTTCCGGAAACTGTCGTCCAGAAAGGCATATAGGAAAGGGTTGAAGCAGCTGTTGGCATAACTCAGGCTAGTGATGAAGTACGAAATCCCAATGACCAGTGGAGTTTGCGGAATGTCTGTAGTGAGGGCCACCACTGTGCTAAGGTGATAAGGGGTCCAGCAGAACAGACACACAGCCAGGATGACAACCACCATCAGGGTCACTTTCTGTTTGGCTTTGTCCAGGGCTTTTGCATTGCTATGGAGGTGCATGTGTCTCAACCTGTACAGTATGGTGGTGTAAAGGATGCAGATGGTGGACACTGGGATGGCAAAGCCTAAAACGAGGGTGTAGATCCGACTGCCTTTCCACCACACGCTCTCAGGGTGGGGGAACACAAAGACACACTGGGAGCGCCCCTGCTCCTTGTGTATCTTAGCAAAGATGGCGAAGGGCAGGATGATGACAGTGACGAAGGACCAGACGCAGAGGCTGACTATCTTGGCTGCTCGGTAGGTGCGGTAGGACATCTTCTTGGACTTGGTAGTGGCTACCACGACCAGATAGCGGTCGATGCTCATGACAGTGAGGAAGTAGATGCTGGAGAAGGTGTTGTACTGGTCTATGGAGACGATGAGCTTGCACATGACCTCGCCAAAGGGCCACTGTAGGAGCAAGTAGTCAGCAATGTTGATGGGTAGCACCAAGGTGAAGAGCTCATCAGCAATGGCCAGGTTGAGGATGAAGATGTTGGTAACCGTCTTCATCTTTGGGGCTTTGAGGATTACATAGATGACGGCAGTGTTGCCAGTCAGCCCCACGGCACAGATGACAGAATAGACGACAGGCACTGTTACGTAGAAGCTGGTGATCTGGCGGAGAGTGGACGTATTCAGCCCCCCGTCCCCTCTTGCTGCGCAGCCCTCGGGTCCAGCCATGCACGAGGAATTGGGGTCTGGGAGGGAGAGGTTCTCCATGGCCCCTGAGGCTGGTGCCAGGCCCGCGGGGGGGCGGGGAGGGCTTGGCAATGGGGGCTGGAGGGGGAGCGCAGCTTTTCTCCAGCTTGTGTCCTCAGAGGCGTCAGGTCGCGGCCACCGCAGCCTCCTCCCCAGTGCTTCTGCCCC